CCTCCCCCGCCCCGCGTCCCCGGTGCATTCCAGTCGTGCCACAGGCCGGGACGCTGGCTGCAGACAGACCGGACGCGGCCGGAAAGACAGACGAGAGGGCAGGCTCCAGCAGGGAAGGGGCGTCTCCTTGACCTGGGTCCGTAGCCAAGGAGTCGCCCTCTAAACGGAGAGGCGGACCCCCCTGCTAAGACCGGGGACACACTGGTGGGAAGACGTCCCGTGGCCTTTGTAGGACCTAGGGGCTTGGGGAGTCTAACCGAGGAAGCCACCACATGGGAAGAAAATGGGTTCACAGCAGCGGGGACTCAGCTTCCAGTTCCCCGGGCTGCTCCTAACAAAAGATGATTTCAAGCTCCAGTTTAAGAATTGGAAGTTGGTTCCAGAAGTGTCATCGCTCGCTCTGGTCTGGGGTGGGGGAGCCCGCGCGAGGCCCCCGAGTGTTTCGCGAAGTTCTGGAAAGTCTCAGAAGCCCAACTAGGGCTGAGGCCAGGGTGCTGGTCTTTTAACTCCATCCAGACGGAGATGTTCCCCTGCCCCGCACACATCGCCACTACCGGGTTTTATCCAGACTTGCGGATGTCATATTTTCAAAGTTCACCATCTCGGTCTATCGTCACCTCCCTATATTGGTCATGCTCCCCATTTGTCCTGTGAAAAACCCTCTGCCCATCTCCGGCCCTTGCAGGGGGAAAGGGGGGGACAGGTCAGTAAGTGTTGAGTGATGGGTAGACTGAACAAGGAAGTCCGCCCAGGAAGGGATCTAAGAGAGCAGAGCAGAGTTCCACCTCCCCAAAAGGCCCACCAAACACCATCTTCTCCCCCACCCCCCACACACACACACACACACACACACACGCAGGTCCTCTCTGGACACACTCCTTTTCCTTCATGCCACTGGTGTGGGCAGCATCTCTAGCACTCTGAAGGCGAGGATGAAGGTGCTTTGATGCATCTAGTTTTTTAAAATAAATTTTTATTGATTTTATTGATTTCAGAAAGGGAGAGATAGACACATCAATGATGAGAGAGAATCATTCATTGGCTGCCTCCTGCACACCCCTGCACATCCCACACTGACAGTCAATGGTGACCTCCTGGTTCATAGGTTGATGGTCAACCACTGGACCAGGCCAGCCAGGCTATGCATCCAGTTTTGAGGGCACACTTTGCTGTGTAAAATCTTTCCTAGGAAAAAGCTAGTCTTCATTCCCCTCTCACCTAGGAGTCCTAACTTTGTGAAGCTGCCCTTCAGTTTGTGCCAGGCATTTCTGGTCACTAAAGAGAAAAACATATTTTCCTGTCACTGGTGTTTATTTAAAGAGACCTGGAACTGCCCTAGCCCGTTTGGCTCAGTGGATAGAGCATTAGCCCTGGGACTTAAGGGCCCTGGGAGGTCAAGGGCAAGTACCACTGTTGTAGGCTCAATCCCTGGCCCTGGCCAGGACACATGTGGGAGGCAACCAATCAGTTGATGTTTCTCTCGGTGTCTCTCCCATTTCTTCCACTCTCTCTAAAAAATCAATGGAATAATAAGAGAGAGAGAGAGAAAGACCTGGAACTAGAGAAAACTGGGTAGCCAAGTAAAAATAACAAATGCCTCAAAGTCACTAATAGTTACAGAAATTCAGATTAAAACACAATGAACTGCCATTTTAAATCCATTGCATTGATACAGATTTTTTTAAATCTATTAGAAAAATTATCCAAAACCTGGATATAAGGCCAAAAGGGTAATCATCCATTCAATATATGGCCTTTCAGTGTCCTATTGAAGCATCATTCAAAGGCCCAAGGATTACAGGCAGTCCTTGGGTTACGTTGGACTCAACGTACATCGTTTTGTGGTTACGTCATCATCTCCCATTTACAAGTAAAGGTCAGGAATTATTATCTTTCTTTCAAATTTTTTTTACTGTTTCACTTCATCACTGCTGTATGTGCTCCATGTGAGTGACGTAGGTACTTATGTAGGTGGGTTCCGATTTACGGCAAAAATTGAGAATCGCATTAGGTCGAGCCGTAGGAACGTATCTCCAACGTAACCCGAGGACCTACTGTATTTAGTTTTCTAGGGGACTGTAACATTGTTTGATATTGCTATTTATTATTGATGAAAGGCTAAGACTCTGTAAGGTTATGTATTAACTTGTAGATTTGTGCCGTGCAGAGAGGCAAATAATTTTTGTCCCAAAGAAAGATAACTTCAAAGGTTATAATTTATTGGCCTGTAGGAGATTAACCATTTTTATATGTAGCCTAGTAATCTTCCTTTAATATTTTATTAAGAACTATATTATTACATTTCTCCAAGTGGTCTTTGAAATAGCTTTTTCATATTACAAATTTTCTCATCCTATCTAATAAAAGAGAAACATGGTAATTGGCGTACGACCGCTACCCTTCCCATTGGCTAATCAGGGAGATATGCAAATTAACTGCCAGCCAAGATTGCAGCCGGCAGCCAGGCAGCTTGAAACTAACATGAGGCTTGCTTGCTTCAGTGACAGAGGACTCCAATGTTCCCCACCTGCCACTGCAGGCCTCTGAGCTGCAACTCTAAGCAACTATGTTACAAATATAGAAGCTA